TTCCAAAACAATGCCCAGTTTGAGGCCGGATATGCACAGCATTTGAAACTGAAGGACGATGCTATTCCTAGTTTGTTTGGACCGTTTGGAGCAGGGGAAGATTCGGGTACACAACCTGTAAGTTTGCATTGTTATTTGTGCATTTATCAAACAAGACTGTTTAAATGTATAAACTGTGTCGGACTGCTAAGCCATTGACACAGTGCTAACTGTGCTAACTAAGTTGCTAGCGTTTCCATATATCAACTCTAATATCAGCAGATGGCCTTGCACACAGTACATGTATCTCATAGCAGGAGAATGTCTGCATTCACACACGAAATACTCATAGACAGTATACTCCGGGTGATTTGCCGTACGGTCAGTCGCGAAACGTAATTACATTATAGCTGGCATAGCGTGTATGCTACCGAGCTAACCAACGGAGCTAGACATGAGTTTGCTCAGGAATTTTTTTTTGTTATGCCAGCTACAATGAATGTAGCAGACTACCCGTATAAGATTGCAATTGTAAACACGTTCTTGCTAGCCTAATATGAATCACTAGCTTTTGTTCATAGTGGTTTTATTACACTAAACAAGCCCAGCTTACTGGGCTAACGACGTTGCTAGCGTTTAAATATATCAACTACAATGTCAGCAGATGGCCTTACATGTTTGTCATGGCAGGAGAATGTCTGCAGTCACACACGGAATAGTCATACAGTATACTCCGGGTGATTTACCGTACATTGTGACAGTACATGTACATACTGCATGTATAGCTAACGAGGCTAGCTATACATGCTAGCGCAAAAACAATGTATTCATGACCGTTACAATGAATGACCGAACGTAGCAGACTACCCGTATAAGATTGCAATTATAAACACGTTATTGCTAGCCTAATATGAACCACTAGCTTTTGTTCATAGTAGTTTTATTACTCTACATTATAGTTGCCGTTCCTCCGAGCTAGCGTTCATATTGTGTTAGCTACCAAGGTAAACAAAGCTAGGTTAGCATATTAGCTGGCAAGCTACTGTGTTCATTAGATAGACTCCTACCACAACTACTACTAACGAATCTAAAACAACTAAGTTTCTCTAATATATTGTGATTTGCATTTGATTTCGTCCAGCCAGATCCTGCCGGACAATACATGACGGGACTACCACACTGATGCATCGTCCTAAAAAGCCCCGGCTGCTATAGGCAAGATGCCGACAACGGGGAGTAATTGATGATATACCGTGTATATATGTATATTTACGTTCATTTTGTACATTTCTAAAAATAAAGTTTAATGGAAATACTTAGTAGGCCTATCCTTTCTTCCCTGAATTATTTGCTCCTATAACATATCATTCATATATAGCAAACCATGATTTGATTTCTCATCAAACAGTAGTAGTTTATAACAGGTAAAAATAACTTACTCTTTGTTATGACCGGCTCGTAGGCCACAACGGAAAGACAAGGAGACATACACGAGTTTACAAAACCACGGCACATTTATTGTGGTAAATGCAGAGATAGGTGGTCGAGGGGAGAGGATCGCCGAGCCGCTTTGGAGAGAGACAGGGGCAGCCGTGTGACTCCGGGCAGCTGGGCTTAATAGCACCTCGGCTCCGGCCAGGTGTCCGTGATCGCGCTGATTAGCCTCTTCAGCTCCACCCCATCGTAATACAAAGGCCCTGGGGCCGTCACACTCTTCTATAACAACAGTTGTTGGTACAGTTCGGTTAGTTAGCGTATAAAATATACGGCTGTACCGACGCCATTATAAGACTGATGTTCCACTGAGAGCGAGCCGAAAAAAGCACTGTTAGACATGGGCGGAGCCTCTCTGGTGGTTGACTAATCAGAACAGAATGGCCGAGCTGACCAATCGGAGCACACTAGGCTCACAGGGAGGGGGGGGGGGGCAAGAGCTCCAACGAGTCGTTTAGTGGAGAGAGTGAATACTGCTGAATACACATACTTGACAGAGATGCTGTATGCGAAACCAATGTGAGTTTGGAAAATTGCACAGTATAAATCTATTTTAGTATACCTCAACAATGTAATTATGATCAGTGGAAATGGCCATGACATGGGCCCTTTAAATAAAATAAGAACTCATTCTCAAAAAAGATAAACGCCATTCTTAAAATGTATAAACGAACATTAGTTAGATTAATATTGATTAGAGTGCACAATAGAAATAAAATAATTCAGAGAAGAAAAAGAGATATGTTATCTATCAAAACCCAGTTTGATTAACATTCATTAATCATTGGATTGCACACTTTGTTTGTGTGGATATGTAGCAAATTAACATGTTAAATAGCACTTAATGACTGACTGAATGGAAATGACAATAAATTAAAATGTAAAACGAAAAAGCGATCATGAAAATGTTTCCAATAAATGAATAAAATAATTTTTGACCACTTTGTTGTTCAGATATATCACATATTTGTAACTGAATGATGCATTCATTGAAACAAAACACAGTATAAACTGAGGAGTGAGTCCCGTGAGTTTCATGTGTTTTCTTCACTCCGCTGGGAAACTGCTCTCATGTCAAGAAGCATCAGATCAGTGCATGCGCTGCATCGTCCAATCAGTGAGCGATACACAGTAAGGGGGCGGGGAGAGTATCTGAGGATTTCATCAGAGGATGGTCTGGTGGTTCCTCGGTTATCGCTCCTCCATTATCGCTCCTCGCTCCTTGATCCTCGGTCCTCCGGCAGAAATAAGAGCCATGGGACGCTACTCAAGATGGCGCAGACAAATCAACTTCCGGTGATACCGAGGACCGAGGACCGAGGAAATGAAAATAGTCGACCTGAGAAGACTGTTCCTGACTGGAACAAATTGAAACTGTTATTTAAATGCAAAAAAATTGTGATTTTACCTAGAAATGGGAGATTTGATATGGGCCTGTAATTGTTTATTACTGAAGCGTCTAGATTATTCTTTTTTAAGAGAGGTTTAATGACTGCAGTTTTCAGGACCTGTGGAAAAAGACCTGAGTGAAGAGACTTGTTTACTAGTGGTGGGGGAAATAATCGATACGGCATAGTATCACGATACTTTGCGTGGCGATATTGTATCGATACACGTTACATTTTTTTATATAAACTGTAGCATATCCCTCCGAAAGATGGTCTTACACTTGACTGATGATTTTTTATGTATTGAAAACTCCAAAAACCAACGTAAGAGCTACACAAAGACTCAAAACAACAAATACATTTAAGCTACATCTGAGCATTACTTTAGAATACCATTACGGAAAAATAACCCACAGATGAAACTTTGAATATATGCATGCTAAGGTAGCTGTAATAGTATAAGCTAAAGCACACTCAATTTTTGGTGATTAAGCTGTGTGCTGAGCTAATACAGCAAATGTAAAAAACAGAGGTAACCTTATTTCTAAACTGTAAGAAATACAATACCCGTATCAAAGTTCTCAAAATGCCACCTGTTTGGAGAAAGGGAAAGTGAAATGTTGTTACATAAATATTGTATGTAATAACAATAATCTTATCTAGTGTTTATTGTAGGCTCCAACTCTGTCACTTCCCAGAAAAGGAGACGGAGTTCTGGAGTTATGTGCAGCCAAAGAGCTCAATATATAAAACATAATAAATGAACTTTGTCACAGTGAAATGAATAGAGCAGCGTCCTCTGGTGGCCTCTCTATAGATCAGTCAGTCCAGAAAGAAACAAATAGATAATTACCAACATTAAAGTGTAAGAGACATTTATTTAAAGTTAGCTTGAGCCTTTTTTATTGAGTTGGTGCGTATGCCCAAAGTGCATCAAGTAGGGAAAGATGTACAGAGTGTAACCCTCCAACAGATGATGTCTTTGTAAGGAGGCTTTCACATCAGAGACCGAGGCCTGGATCCAAGTACACTTGAAAAGGAGTTCTCAAGTTAGGTTCAAATTGACTAAAGTACTGTTCGCTTTAGGTGAGAAAACGAAGTCCTGCTGTGTCTCAAGTATTTTTTTCCAATACATAAATCTTAGTATCACTTTTAAGAGCACACGAAGACTGCATTATAAGCCTATTAAAAATGATACTAGGCGAAAAAAGACACTATAAAAAAGGTGAAAGGAAATTTGTTTTCCATGCTTGTAAGGAGTCATGTGTTACGTTAAGCTAATTCCATTGGATGTTGTCATATAATGACTCCTACTGTCCTGTGCTTTAGTAAAACCTCCAGTATGTGAGTGTTGAAGATATGCATAGCATACAGTGTTCTTCCAGTTATGCACTTTGTCGGCGGTGGTGGTGTTCGAGGGAATTTGGGGATCTTTGCACAGATGTATGAGAAAATAAACGTGATTTATCCTGAAAACATGCATGAAAATATCCTGCTCGATCTATTAAAAATGTTTTGATTTATTTTTTGATAACATTTTAATTACATGTAAACAAAGAAAATTCACAAAGGACACAAAAACAAAATGTTCAAATAGAAAGTTTACTGAACTCAATCAAAATATATATTTATTATTTAATTAAAACCAGATTTATTTTGCATCAGATCATTATCAAGCAAGTTTTTATATAACATTCTTATTTCCTTAATATTCAGTATCTCTAAGTAAAAGCAAAATAAATGTTGTCATATTGACAAAACATTTCTTTAATTGCAATAATTGTAAGCCATATTTATGCATGAAGGTGTAGTAAACCGGCGACCCTCCGTTACAAAGCACCGTCTGTACAGACTGAGCTACTACAGCCTAGATCCACTATACAGTTTATACAGAAATCAAATCAAATCGGGGGGGGGGGGGGGGGCAATGACCAATAAACCTAAATAAAGCTGAACTACGTGATGAAGAGATGTACCACCTAAAGTCCTAAACCTCATATGACACATTTTACAGTTGACATTTTAAATAGGGTACACTTCAGCTCTGCAGTCAGCATCAGATCAGGATCCATGGAGAGACAGAACTCTTCAGGGTGTGCCTCCTAGATTATCAGCCGGTGTTGTCGGCACTGGCACGGTCACTGGCACGAACAGATTTCTTTAGTATCAAGTGAACTGGAAAAAGAGGCTAAGAGAGAAAAGAGAGCAGGAGGTGAAAAAAACAAACACACTGTCACATTGAGCACAGAGCATTTACATTTAAATAAAAGTGATGATGATTTTTAACATCAAAAGGACATTCTTATATCAAAATAGGTAAACTCAAACATCACTTAATGCAAATCCAGTCTACAACACACACTAAGAAAAAGCCATTTGCAATTTGAGAAAAAACTAGCAGAAACTATCAAAGCATGTCCAGTGCAAAGTATTCATTTCAAAGATTGTAATGACCAAATGTGTTGCAGTTGCTGATTAAATAGAAAAATGTTAAGGAATGTTAAATGATGTTATATCCTAAAAATGGTTTGCATTCTTCATAATCAGTAAACCTGCCGATTTTAACCTGATGCATCCCCTAACCCTAACCCTAACACAAGTTTAGAAAAAGATTGTGCATTCTTGTTGTTCAAACACAGAATAAAGTCAAGTAACTGCCATTTTTGGAAACTGCTCATAAAATGTCACCTACTTATCTTCCTACAAACAATATGTTGCTGCAGGCCTTGAGGCCGACTGAATGAAAACAAAATGGTGTTATTTTTTGTATTCTTTACCTCGTTCTCTGATTATTGTGCCCCCATTTCGAACTCCTCTGGTTAAGGTTTTTTTTGGATTCCTGGGTTTTCAATCAGCTCTTTGGCAACATCGAAAGGCTTTTTCCATTCTTTTGCAAGGATGTTTTTCTTAATTTCTTCAGTCAACTTCTCTTTTGCTGAATTCCTCAGAACCTCTTTCAGCACATTGCCCTCCTCTATTATAATCAGTTTTTCATACAGAAATCTTTTGTTGAAACAGCATGAATCTTCATTCCTGCATTTGCATTTTTTAAACAATGCCAAGCCGAAAGCCACTAAAACAATTAGAAATAGAATCCCGCCACCGATAAGCTGAAGAAACAAAGAAAGAAAGATAGTTATAACACAACAGCATTACTTCAGATAGAACTGATGCTGATAAAGTAGATCCAGAGTGGAAGCACTTACCAGGGATGTGTATTTCAGTTCAGCTTTAAGAACTCTCTCGTCGAGCGTGATATTCGTCTTATCTTTGCAGGCTAACTTTGCCTGTTGTTCAGAGCCGTCATTCTTACAGCAAACATACCAGTCTCCATCGAGGAACAAAAAAGCAACCCACAGCAAGGCGACTAAAAATGCCCTAAAAAGGTGACGGAAATAAAAACAGCCAAGCTCGCAGAAGCATTTACAATTTGAGCAATAGTATCTACAGACGCTTTGGAAAGAACTGTCCGCCACCAGTACTAATACAAAAATGATAAAGGGTGGCAGAAGCATGTACAGGAAGCAGATCGAGGCTTGTGGTTCGCAGGTGCAGGTAAAATCCCTGTTGAGCAAAATAGTGTAGGTGAAGATAGATATGACCGCAGCGTAGGTGCTCAGCTTCTCACTGGCGATTTTTGTTGTAAGGCTCTGCATCTTTGATGTGCGGGTGGCATCAACTGACAATGATCACAGTTCTGCAGCGGGACATTTATATATACCCACAAAAAAAAGCATTTCCTGTTCGTTTTTACAAGTATAAATCATGCCATGAGTTAATCTTTTATTTTTATTTTTTCACTTTAAGATCCTTTTTTATTAGCATTCCACTATAGTTCTTCAAATCTTTATTCTTCCCCTTATTTCACCAATACTTTGGCTCCCCATAACTTCAGCTACAGAAACCATTAAAATATGAAACTATTCAGCCTTTTCAGGAATCGATTGAAACCTTCAACTTTTTAAAAATATTTTATACTTTTTGAAATATTCAGCTTTTTAAACTCTTTTTTTAACATGGAAGTCAATGGGAGATGCCTTCAAATCCTCTTTAACTACACCTTACGCCAAATGCTTCTCCTTCCACATACTTTCAGCTAGAGACTTCATTCCAACTGTAAGAGCTTTATCTCTCATTCAGATCAATGGAAACCTTTGATCTCTGGGCTCAAGTGCAGTTGTTATGATAACACCTCATTAGCTCAAACACCTGTGTGATGATGTCATAACTCCAACTGACGAGCTCAGAACGCCACCAAGCCATCACACTGTGGCCCTGAACAGCTGAGTGACATCATCTAATCAGAGCAGACACGCCCACAGACAGACTGGTACAAGCACACACACACACACACACACACACACACACACACACACACACACACACACACACACACACACACACACACACACACACACACACACACACATACACACACACACACACGCACACACACACACACACAGCGTGTGACAGGACAGCGCTGTGATTGGCTGGTGATTAGGTTTCGGGAGCCAGAGAGGAAATGGTAACTTTAGAATAGGGAACCTTTTCAGGTCAATTAGAGTCAAACTACTAGCTTATTGGTTATGAACAAGACTTCACTTTAAAATAGGGAACATGTTCTTAGATAGAAATACCTAATTTTAAGTTATTTAGACACAATTAACACTTATAGTTTCATGTATTGTTACATAAGAATAGATCATATTTGTTAAGTGTTATTATGGGAGAATTACTATTATTGTGGTACTACTGCCTTATTAGGCCCATATTGAGCAGAGCATATTAAGACCAAAACTCATGTACAACAACTTCCTTACTTGCAATAAATAAGCACTAATTAGAGGGTTATTGAGGACAAACTCTCAACTAATGGCTTATTACTTGTAGAATATGGTCCTGTAGAATAAGGCATTAATAAGTGTTTAATACTGTCTAATAAAGAGCCAATATACTGCTAATATGCATGTTAATGCACATTTAATTTAATTTAATTTCAAACCTTTATTTATCCAGATTGTCCCTTGAGATCATAGATCTCTTTTTCAAGGGAGACCTGCAGCAAATAGGTTCCACATGAAACATAAAACATCATAAAACAATAAAGGACATCATACAACATATTTACAAGCTACATTTACATACTTATCGACATTTACAAGTACCCATAGTTTCAAAGAGCATTTCCCTTGGACTAGCTTTAAAAACATGCAGAGGAATGAAATTGCTCAGTTTCAATTCTTGCTGAAGATTGTTCCAAGCAAGTGGAGCTGCGCACATTAAAGCTGTCTTACCTAAGACAGTCCATGCTCTTGGCACATCTAACAAGACTACATCATGCGATCTCAGACAATAGCTGCTTGCTACTCTCTGTGTTATCAGAGAGCAGATACAATACGGGAGTTTACCCAACATGGCTTTATAGATAAACATGTACCAGTGACTGAGCCTCCGTACAGTAAGTGATGGCAGACCTGCCTTGGCATACAGGGTACAGTGATGAGTAAGTGCTTTACAGTTAGTAACACATATCAGTGCACTGTGATAGGCGGCATCTAACTTGATCAGGTAATGGGCAGGTGCATTCAGATCAGATCACCATAGTCCAGCACAGGTCAAAAGGTCACAGAGACTTTTCCTGGCCTCAAGCGAGAAACAGGACTTGTTTCTGAAAAAGAAACCTAGTTGATGGTGAATTTGTGTACCTTAATATAAGCCCACTGCTCCTAGACTCCTGGTGCTAGGATGGGTTAAATGCAGAGGCCACATTTCACTGTGTGTGCTGTGTGCTCTGCATGTGTGACCATTAAAAAGGGTTTCATCCCTCCCCAATTCTATTCTATAAAGTGTTACCAAGTTTGGTAATATAGCACCTTTCAACACAAAGCAATTCAAAGTCCCTTACAAAAATGAAACACATTAAAGTTAAACATTATGCAAAATCCTCTTCTTCATGTCTCTTCTACATCAACATGTGTCCCCTCTTCTTCATGTCTCTTCTACATCAACATGTGTCCCCTCTTCTTCATGTCTCTTCTACATCAACATGTGTCCCCTCTTCTTCATGTCTCTTCTACATCAACATGTGTCCCCTCTTCTTCATGTCTCTTCTACATCAACATGTGTCCCCTCTTCTTCATGTCTCTTCTACATCAACATGTGTCCCCTCTTCTTCATGTCTCTTCTTCATCAACATGTGTCCCCTCTTCTTCATGTCTCTTCTACATCAACATGTGTCCCCTCTTCTTCATGTCTCTTCTACATCAACATGTGTCCCCTCTTCTTCATGTCTCTTCTACATCAACATGTGTCCCCTCTTCTTCATGTCTCTTCTACATCAACATGTGTCCCCTCTTCTTCATGTCTCTTCTACATCAACATGTGTCCCCTCTTCTTCATGTCTCTTCTACATCACCATGTGTCCCCTCTTCTTCATGTCTCTTCTACATCAACATGTGTCCCCTCTTCTTCATGTCTCTTCTACATCAACATGTGTCCCCTCTTCTTCATGTCTCTTCTACATCAACATGTGTCCCCTCTTCTCCATGTCTCTTCTACGTCACCATGTGTCCCCTCTTCTTCATGTCTCTTCTACATCACCATGTGTCCCCTCTTCTTCATGTCTCTTCGACATCAACATGTGTCCCCTCTTCTTCATGTCTCTTCTACATCAACATGTGTCCCCTCTTCTTCATGTCTCTTCTACATCAACATGTGTCCCCTCTTCTTCATGTCTCTTCTACATCAACATGTGTCCCCTCTTCTTCATGTCTCTCCTACATCAACATGTGTCCCCTCTTCTTCATGTCTCTTCTACATCAACATGTGTCCCCTCTGTGTAAAGAGACTCTGAGAGTTTCAGGAACAAAGATTCTCTCTCTTTTTGTCCTGATCCATTTATATAAAAACCAGTCTGAAAATGAGCTGATCAGATTTTGGCCACTTTATGATGTCATAACGGTTTTTTGTCTTGTGTAACCATTAGCCAATCACCAACCAAGGTAACTGGACTGATGTGATCCACTTTCTTAATGTTAGTGAGGACTCGAGCAGCAGCGTTTTGAATCAGCTGCAGTTTTCTAATAGATTTTTTAGTGAACAGACTTGTTTACTATATGAAGTAGATCTGAGGCCATGCAATGAAAAACATGATTGAAAAAGCCTGTTGGAATAATATCAAGGCAGCAGGAGGAGGATTTCAGAAGTTGTATAACGTCCTCTAGGTTTTTATCATTAATCAGATGGAATTGTGTCATGGTGTTTGAAGTGATTTTAAGTGAACACAGAGACAACACATCTGCTGTACCTGATACAGAGGCACTGACTGCTTGTCTGATTTTCTGAATTTTGTCAGTGAAGAAGGAGGCAAAATCATTGCAGGCCGTAGTGGATAGAAATTCAGAGGCTACTGGCACTGGGGGGTTTGTTAGTCTGTCGACGGTAGCAAACAAGGAACGTACATTGTTTTTGTTTTTGGCAATGATGTCAGAGAAGAAAGACTTTTATGCATTTTTCAATTCCAAATGATAAAAGCCAAGTCTCTCTTTATAGATTTCAAAATGGAGATTTGTTTTTCGCCACCTGCATTTAGCAGGTCATGGCCTTTCTGCATGGAGATATTTTCTTGCCAGACACTTCCTTTACCTTGGTGGGAGCAATGGCATCTATAACATTTTCCAGTCGTACTGGGAGCTGCTGACTTCACTTAAGCTCTGTAGTCAGCAACAGATCATGAATCCATGGAGAGACAGAACTCTTCCAGGTGTGCCTCCTCAATGATCGTCCAGTCTAGTCGGTACCGGCAGGAACAGATAGGATGCGTGTCAACTGGACTGGACAAAGAGGCTAAGAGAAAAGAGAGCAGGAGGTGAAAAACACACTAACAGCCTGTCTGGCACCATCGCCTGGTGCATTGAGCACAGTGCATTTACATGTGTTTAAATGACAGTGATGATGATGATATCTAACATAAAAAGGACATTCTTATATCAAAATAGGTCAACTCAAACATCACTTAAAGGTGGGGTAGGTAATTTTGGAGAAACCAGCTCGAGTGCGCGAGAATTTGAAAATACACATCCGGAAAAAATCTGCCACTTCCTTACAGGGCCCCTCCTCCAACACACACAAACGTGCACATGACCAATGAGGGCACAAGATAAGTTTGTGCACAGATGGAAGGCTGACAGGCAGGTAGGCCATCCAGTTATTTTAGCCGGGCCGGCTAAAATGATTGGTCGTGCTTTTTACAGTACTACGGCTTCCACAGATGAAATTTTTTTATGGATTATTTGTCAAAGCACTTAAAGGTGGGGTAGGTAAGTTTGAGAAACCGGCTCGAGATACACTTTTTGTTATATTCCATGGAATGCTCTTAACATCCCGATAGCAATGAATATCTTAAGTGCTTTGACAAAAAATCCATAACAAATTTTCATCTGTGGAAGCCGTAGTACTGTAAAAAGCACGACCAATCATTTTAGCCGGCCCGGCTGAAATAACTGGATGGCCTACCTGCCTGTCAGCCTTCTGTAAGAGTCGGGAGGAGCTGATAATTTATTCCGGCAAATTACTCAGACCTACTAATTAACCTAACCGAAGTTATTGAGTCTATGTAAGTTTACTGCTTGGCTCAGATCCACCAACGTCAGCAAGATCTCACCTCTATTAACTCCCCGAAGAACCAGGTTCAATTAACTGCTGTTTCAATTCAGACGACCCCCTAAATCTGTTTAAGCGATCCCGAAGGATTTTGATATCAGTTAATGAGGTGTGGCCCTACCTAAGTGTGAGTGTGGCAGTGTGCAATCTTACCTTTGAAGCAGGAGAGGAGAGCGCAGATGTCTTTTAAGTTGTCCCAATCCAAAAGGTGGGATCAGTTTATTTGAAGAAAAATAGGTCCAAACTAATACAGGGTTTTTACCTTCTCTTGTTACAACATTATAATCATACTAAACCTATCATGCTGTGATCATGTTCTAATATGAAACTTTAATTCACAGTTTTACATTTATTACCATAATTTGTAGCTTCAACTGCCCAATTCAGTTGTGACATTTAAAATCTCCCGATAGAATTTAGAGGCATTTCCTCATAAAAGACCGGTGATAATAAAAAGCACATTCAAACTTTCATTCACCAAATCAATTCACATCAATTCCATACCTTTTTTCCGACACAGATGGCGGGTACTAACATTCACAAACACATACCTATATCCCGCATGTATTCGGAGGAAGATCCTCACAGGTGGCGGTTACTAATACTCACAAACACATATCAATTCCTTCCACTCATTTAACCCAGAAATTCACTCCACTTTCAACAAAGAAATTCGAGAGATATTTACCAAGTTTTAGAGAACCTTACCGAGAGCAAAAACCCAGCTCTGAAGCTGTTCCTCTCTAACCCAGTGTTTTAAAGCTCAAAACAGGATAGAAAAACCTAAAGACACCTCCTCCATACCCATATTAGTGGAAACAGGGCATGGCCTCTGATGTAAAGAACTGGACCTGACCAGACATATGCTATGGCATAAGACACACCTTCCCATGTTTGTGTAAAAAGGACATGACCCCTACTCTGCAGGACTTGCAAAATATTATTCTCGGCTATGACATAACCACCTTTTGGGGCCTCAATGTATTTCTCCTTAAGTCAGGAGCCCCCCTCCCTGGGTACTGCTGTGAGGGGAGAGAGAAGAAACTGTCTCTCCTCTTATCAGTGAAACCCATAAACCATTATAGGCCTTACACACTCAATTTAACAAACCACTTGTGTTTTGTTTATACTGTAAATATAGAAAATCATAAAATATGAAGCATTTTCATTGCGGGTTATACAAGAATATAATTGATTATACTTGATTATAATTAACTTTCGTTTTAAGTATTCAACAATATGGAGATCGCAACACTTCCATCTGCGTTCGTGTGTGTTGGAGGAGGGGCTTTGTAAGGAAGTGGCAGATTTTTTCCGGTTGTGTATTTTCAAATTCTAGCGCACTCGAGCTGGTTTCTCCAAAATTACCTATTTTTTGTAACTAGTTAACATGTCAGAGCTTTTGCAGCGCACTAGTTAACTTGTAAGACTTTTAGCGTCACTAGTACGGTCAGAGGGCCACTAGTTCATCAAAAAGCTTACAAGTTGGGACTTTGGTGCTACAAGTGCTGCTCCTGGCGTAACTATAAGGCTTATGTGGTAACTAGTCCAACACACTCTCACTCCCTAAGCGTCCAGGAGCGACGCTTGGTCAGGGTCCCGTGGCGTTCAGTTGTGACGCGCCGAGGCTCCTTCAGCTTCATAAACGGACGCAAAGAGCTTTCAACTGATTGCAATGTATTCCCATCGGCGGCGGTATTTGACGCTTAGGGAAGCACGGCATTCGTTTGTGTCGGAGGCTGTTAAAGGCAATGTGTCCCCTCTGTGTAAAGAGACTCTGAAAGTTTCAGGAACAAAGATTCTCTCTCTTTTTGTCCTGATCCATTTATATAAAAACCTGTCTGAAAATGAGCTGATCAGATTTAAATAATAATAAAATTATAAAATGCAATAACGTGCTTTAACCAGTAGGTGTCCCTTTCTATCAGCTGTGCACCGTTATGGCGTAAATACAGCCTATCTACCAATTGGATCAAATATAAAAGTCAGCCGAATTAGTGTTGATACTGCAAGGAGACGTATTGTGTGAAAAGAAATGTAAGATGTTGTTTAATTGCTTATATATTTAAGATCCACGTCAAGTTTTCAGTTTTGGCGGCAGTTCCTGTTTGTCTAGAAGTCTTGTCATCAGGGCTCTATAAATAGAGTTAACTACGGCAGATATGTCATATATCGTGTATTACAATGCCGTTATGTGATGACCTCCAAAGAGAAAAGCAAGCACACTCGGAGTAATGTATTATTTAATTTTTTTATACAGTCTATGGTTGCTACAGAGGATTGTGGGTAATGTAATGTCTTCGGCCATCCAAAACTCATAGAAAACGACTTGTTTCTCAGAATTGAAGGGGAAAACGTGACAAAAGCATTGTACACACACTAAAATCTATCAATGTCGTTTAATTAACAAGGATACAGTAATCTGGTGTTTTTGAGTTGATGAGTAGTGGAGATATCACTGTCAAATCAATCGACAGTAAGGGGAATACTTACTTCCGGGTGTACAATTCTCCGTTATCCAATGGGAATGGACGCTCACATTGCCTTTAACAGCCTCCGACACAAACGAATGCCGTGCTTCCCTAAGCGTCAAATACCGCCGCCGATGGGAATACATTGCAATCAGTTGAAAGCTATTTGTGTCCGTTTATGAAGCTGAAGGAGCCTCGGAGCGTCACAACTGGACGCCACGGGACCCTGACCAAGCGTCGCTCCTGGACGCTTAGGGAGTGAGAGTGTGTTGACTAGTCGGACACAAGTGCCACTAGTTGCTGAAAAAGAGTGACTAGTGTAATGTTTTATTTAACTAGTAAAGCAGAGTGCCAAACTAGTTTGACCATATATCTAACAAGTGAAATCAAAGAGCCAACTAGTGTAGGCAGCTGCCGTCTGATATCAAGGATATGGAATAAATACTCAAATGGCTTGCCATAGCTCACACGCATGAGCTGTACTGATTAACTAAATGAGATATAATGTTATTGCGCTTTAGAGGTACTGGAAAATGGACTTTGTTACCTTTAGACAAAGCCAGGATACAGTATATTTCTAGTCTAATCTGGTAGTTAAGTGCTAACTAACCAGCTGTAGATTACAGTATTTAATGTAGATACAAAAAGGGCTTCTGTACTCTCATCTGTAACTCTCGACAAGAAAGACATTAAGTGAATTATTGAATTATGTTTTAAGGTTGCATAAGCATCCATTTCTCTTTATAGTTAACTCTTCCTCTGAGTTATGTCTTATTGATCACGTGTCTTTACCATGGTGTCACTTTAGACAATATTCCACTTTCTCATGAAGTCCTTCGAATCATTTTTAGCACACACTCATCACCGTAGCTGAAACGCTTGACAACAGCCTCCAGTTTTAGCTGGTGCGGTGGTCCCACATCGTGAACATCACCCTGATGATGTGACCTGCTTCACGTAAATAAAAAGCCTCCACCACACACAGACTGTCAAATGCTAATGATGAGCAGGAAATGACAAAACTGTTACCACATTGCTTCTAAATGAAGACCGAACACACCAATTCTCATGTCTTGCTTACGTCCATTCTGCTGACTCATGCATTTCCACTGTCAGACCACATCCTTCAACTGCAACACATAAATACCAATGTTTGCTTTGCTTCAAGATAATGTTGAAGAGCATTCACCGTCACATCAGAGAGAGATAAGAAAAATGTTGTGCCCAATGGATTTCATTGTTTTTATCTCTTGTGTGGTCCTCCTCATTGTCCAATCATGTGAGTAAAACACTCTTTGTATTGCAGGCATTTACTTTGTGATATCTACCTCACTCATGTGAGCATGCAGAATGCATAGTCATGCTTTACTTTCAATATTACAGTGCAGCTGAGGCAGAGTGTTACAATTTATTTGGTTTACCATTTATTGATTCATTTCTATACTTTTTTCAAAATGATTGAACTGTTATTATTGAATTATTGTTCTGTTTAAGGTCATGGTTCTGAGATTATTGGTGGGAAAGAAGTGGCTCCCCACTCGCTGCCTTTCATGGCTCTGATGCAGCCTACGTACTGTGGAGGGACCCTGATCCATCCAAAATGGGTCCTGACTGCTGCCCACTGTAAGTAAGAGCATGATACAAACATTCCTACTGTATGCACTAAAACTAATGTATAACCTATACTGGTGATACATGTTTTATATAATATTATAATTATTTTCATCTGAATGAAGAAATTATTTTGCATTTTGGTAAAACAGTAAAGTTAACCTGAAATACTATTCATGGTAAAAAGATAACATCAAAATAAAACTACTGTTTGCACTGGGGTTCATTTTCCATTTGTAATAGCAGCTCTTGAACACCCACAAATAACAGACACATGAGTCCGACATAGACTTAAAAAATGTACTTCAGGACAGAGACTGAAACACTTGCAGAGTAGGATTGCCCAAGTATTGGATACAAATCAGATTTATAAAAGCGAAATTCTGCCTGTATGAATTTAACGCTACTGAAGACACATTTTAACATTTATTGTAAACTCTGTTTTCTTCTCCCTCAGCATTAAGAAAGTGATTCTGGGAGTGCACTCCATTAAAGGAAAGGAAAAAGATTCCAGGCAGGTCCGCAAGGTGAAGAGTTTTCCTCATCCCAGCTATGATGAAATAACGTTGATCAATGACCTCATGCTGCTCAAGGTAAGTTGTAAACACAAGTAACCAAGTTGAAGCAAAGGTGCAACAATCTGCAATCTAGGAAACAGTTGAAGATGATTCAGGCACATATTTGTTTGATCTTAATATACGCTTTTTGGTTTGGTAAGGCAGGAGAGAATGTTATCTGTTTATGTTCTTTAAATGTCCCAAATCAAGTCAAAGTGAATGGAATTAACTGGCATCCACTATGATTGTAATGATGATTGACGATTATAACTTGAAGGAAGTACATTTAGTGAAAGTTTCATCATTTTCAAGTATTAATAAGCTGCTATAAGTACAATCTATGCATGACACCAACATAGGGAAATGGTACAAAACATCAATGAAGCATTCATTTCACAACAAGCCTTACATTTCTCAAAGACAACATACAGCTGGTCAGCATCAAATTTCTCTTTTTTTATTATATCAGCTTGACAAACCGGTGATGCAAACCAAGACGGTGAAATGTCTCCCGTTGGGGGACACCAACAAATATCCAGCAGCTGGCACCAGCTGTCTGGTGGCTGGATGGGGAATAACAAACGACAACGCCACGACTCTTTCAGATGTCCTGAGGTCTGTCCATGTGACCGTGATCGATAGAAAGAAGTGCAACTCTCCTAAGAATTACAACGGGAAGCCTGTTATCACCAGCGGGCAGATATGTGCTGGTTCAGTCGTTGACGTGGTGGCTGATACCTGTGCGGTGAGTGCATTTTGATTCTTTTGTAAAGGAAATAAACTGCCTGTCACCCCATAAATCATGCGTATGTATGTGTCTTAATATGCAATGTTGTATATTTATTATCTCTCCAGGGGGATTCAGGAGGCCCACTGTTGTGCAATGGAGCCCTGGTTGGTGTCACTTCTTTTTGGAATGAGTGACAAGTGTGTACTGTTTTCTCTCAAAAAAACAAATCATCTGGATCAAGAAGACAATGAAAAAGTCTGAAATATAGCCAGCCCAGTTCGTTAACGTCTGTTTATGTGCTAATATTATGCTACAGTACATTCACTTTATCCTGCTTACTGTATAAGGAAGAAATGTACATGATATGTTTTCTTGAGTGATTTTTCTAAATCTATATATAAAAGCGCTATATTTTCTTAAGGTGAAAAAAGCAAACCTCCAAAGCAATCCGCCAACAGGACAGAGGCACCACTCTTTGCATCAGAAGCTTAAATATACTATAACTCAAGTCGTATGGATATATTTTATAATTAGTTTGATTCTCAGGTATGCTACTTTTTTTCCTCGTCATTATAACTGCATGAAAACCCAAAACCAATGACATTTTATTCTGAGACATCCATATCTCTTTGTTTCTTATTTGTGCTTTTGTATTACTATTAGAATAGGTTCCCATGACAGAAGCTTCTGTAGTTTCACACATTGATGGCATCAAAGATTTGTGTTTCAGTTCTCTGGTCCTGTGAGCTCTGTGTCTAAATAAAAAAAATGTTGATGTTTCAGTAAACATGACAGCGCATGTTGGTGTTGTTCTCTCTTGCTGCTCTTGAGGTTGTCTGTCATAATGCCGAAACGCTTCCTGCATGAGACAATTACAGTAATATCAATGCAGAGAATATGAAGTTCTTAACTATAAAGAAAAAAAAAGCTCTGCTGATGGTGCACTTACTTAGACCACACCACAAGAGACAAATTCACACGGTATATCTTAAGACCCCCACAGGAAACGTGCAAAGAAAGGGCGCATGAGTCTTGCAACATGCCTTCATTCAAATGCAGTGAACACATAATAAATATGTCCACATCCAGCAAAAGGAAATATTTGCTCAAATCAAAGTGTGCAGTCATATTTTGAAAGGATTGATCATCAGCTTTCTTATCTTAAACACTGTTGTTCTCTTTTATTGCTGTGGGCTGAAAGCATTATGTGCTCCCCTAAATTCTTGTGGGTTTCACACACAAATCAGCTTAGCCTAATAACATCTGAGTCATACACCCGGCCGTTATGACCTACGAATGACTGTTAATGTTGCACTGATGCTCAGTTTTCATCACCAGGTGGTGCTCTCTACTGCATTTAGTGATGCAGTCATGCTAGTCTTTACAACAATTCAGTGTAAATGGTTACATCTAGTATCTAACTTACAACTGATACAAAACTGATGCAAAAGGTTAATTGCAATACACATCTGTGGTTGCATTTAATACAACCACACCAGGCACGTGCACACATAGACATCAAAGTGGGCTTGAGCCCTTGCCCTTTTTCTTCCTCCAGAGAAAGTGCCCTTTTTTCCCCTTTTTTTTTTTTTTTTTTTAAATAAATTAATATATATCTACTGCTGTTTGCGCACAGTTTCCCTTTCCAAAAATATATAACGTCCTCACAACCACCACATTGATATGCAAATTAGGCGTTAACTAGGCCTAATTAAAATGAGCTAATTTGCATGCAGTTACCAAGGCATTGCAGGTGAAAAGGATAAAAACATAGCACCTCACAACTTCCTCAGATAGTTACTTACATCAAGTCAGTATTTAAATATGCAGATTAGCTTTAAATCTATAGATGAATTCAGACATGGTAGTAAAACGAACACCATTTATTTGTGTTTTTTTGAAGTTTTCTTTCCATTAGAGTGAAAGAAAACATGGAAGCAAAATAGACCAAAATAACTAAATGTACAAGTACATGAAAAAACGATATTTTTGCCTGTAATGTCCTTAAACAGTAACTTCATAATTTTGATTGTTGGCTGCTCATTTAATAATTATTCATTTTAGTTTTTTGTCTGCTCTTGTGTGTAGTGAATACTAAAGAAGACCATTGTCTCTGTGTTAGCTGATTATTTTGTAGAATTCTGTTGAGTATTAAACAATTGCGTGAGTGTGAGGGTATTAAAATTAATTGGTCAGTAACAGAGTATTTTTGTTGGGTAATCTATGGTAGGGCTAACCAGGGACGTGCACAGACATTTGGAGGGGCTATTGCTCTAAACTGGAAAAAGGGCCTCCCCCTGAAAAAAAATATAAGACCAAAACGATTATTACATTAACTAATTTGAACAGTAATTCACATCATCATCTCATTACAAAATAAGCTAAGGCAACTACTTGCATTCGGTGACTTGATTTTTCAAATGAAAACCAGGGACATTTTTTGTTTTGCGGTCCATATCTCATTAAAATATCTAATGTTAGTAACTATTAAAGAGAAAATGGGGACAATTCAATGTAGTTTGAGCATTGTAACTGCTGTGCAGACATACTGATAAAATAGGGCTTCTATAATTAACCTTAAATAAACTCACTATTTAATGAAACCAGTTCAATATGCATTATTCTTATTCTTATCATTCTTTATGAGCGCAGTAACGGTAAGGTATCTAATTACTTATTTATTTAGTATTCCATAACTTCATAACAGAGATGGTCAAACTGAAGTAGAGACATGGCAGAAATCCTACAATGAAGCGGGACAGTGAAGTGTTCTCCTGAGAGAGGGCGATCAAGAGAAGAGAGAGAGGGTGAGGGAGTTTACAGATGGAAAGACACAGAAAGACAGAAGCACAATAACAAGTATATTTAGGTGTTTTTTTGTAAATAACCGACGGTGTCAAGAGGAAGTAAAGTCCCTGCCATTAGAAAACTCAAAATCCATTTTCCAAAATCCGACACTAGAGGTGGTCTTAATGCACCGGCACCAATACAGTAGCCAATAATACATATTATATATATATAATACGTAACATGTGTAATCACACACTTAGCGATATAGAACATAATTAATAAAAACGTAGGCCACCTGGTTTAAAACGCTTGTGTGGTCATACTGTGGAATGAGTTCACACTGAAACGAGTTCTTCATTCAAAATTTCGCGGGCAATTACAAGAAGAAGGAGAAGAAGTAGAAGTAATTGATTGATTGATTGATTGAAAAGTTTATTAACAGCTTGTATATTGGGTACAGTACAGTACAGCTCAAAACATACAATTGTTAAGGGGATGCAGACCAGAGAAAGACTTTCGTCTTGTTTACATCAGGGTCCCCCATTTCCAATTCATCATATCATTTAAGACATATAAGACATATTTGACATACAGATGGCTTATTTACAATTTACATACAGGTGGTTTTTTACATACAGATGGCTTATTTACAATTTTCATTTTAGATTTCGTTCTAATACATCCTAACCGGACATTTAAGACATACCAAGTCTACAGATATACAGTTAGTAACAGAGTCTAAAATGCGAGTATATACATAGATGGGGGGGGGAAGCTGTCCATTGTACGACAGGTTGAGATTTGTACCATTACCGGGGGCCAGTTTTGCAATGCTTTCCCCCGAAGGTGCTCTTTAAGAGAGGTTTTGAAGGTAAGTATAGTTTTACTTTCCTTTACAGTTGTGGGAAGAGCGTTCCACCTTGATGTGGCATAATTGCGATATGTGTATTCCCCTTTTTTTGTGCCAAATCTGGGTTTTACATGATTTGTGGAGCTCCCTCTGGTGTTATGATCATGGTATTCCTTGACCTTTGGGAAGAATTTTGACATGTACATGGGTACCATAGAGGTGTAGTGGATCTTGTAGACCAGGCCCATTGCAAGTAGCTGTACTCTGTCGTCTACTCTAAGCCATCCTAGGTTGTCAAAGTGGGCAGAGGTGAGGTGGGTTCTAGATGAAAGGTCAAGCAGTAGTCTGACCAGTTTATTTTGCGATGTTTGAAGTTTTATTTTTAGCGCCTTGGAGGTGCTATGGTACCATGACGTGCAAGCATAGTCATAGTACCCTTGAATGAGTGCTCCTGCCAGAGTTTTCAGGGTGTTTTTGTTTACCAGAGAGGAGATCCGGTATAGGAATCTAGTTCTTTGATTGACTTTTTTTATTACATTGGATGCCATTTTGTCACAGGAGAGGTTTGCCTCAAGAATAGATCCTAGGTATGTAATTTCCTTCTTACTTGTGACAATAATGTCACCCACTGCAACTGAGAAGTCGTCGGATTTGCTGAGATTATGTTTCGAACCGAAGAGAATGGACTCTGTTTTACCCAGGTGTAATGATAATTTATTATCGGCGAGCCAGGTGCAGATTCTGCCGAGCTCGGAGCTGAGGGTTTTTTCAACCTGCAATCTGCTCCTGTCAGAGACCAGCAGGGCTGAGTCGTCCGCGAACAGGAACAAGTTGCAGTCACATGCTGATGACATGTCATTTGCATAAATTAGGAACAGTAACGGACCTAATATGCTTCCTTGTGGAACACCACAGCTCACTGGGAGGGGGGGGGGACAGAGTACCGTTTACCTCCACCATCTGTTCTCTCCCCCTCCAGGTAGGATTGCATCCAGCTCAAAAGAAGTAGAAGAATGAAGCTGGTGTGTTTCCCGCAGCGAGACACTACAATACTAATTGTAGGCTTATCATGTTGATTCGACCACAACAGAAAGAAAAAAAAAACCTCTCGCTCTCTCCAGAGGGGCAGGTCAGCCAAAAAGGGCAAACGGGCCGTTGCCCGGGCAACATTAGCCCGTACCTGTGCACGTCCCTGGGGCTAACCCATACAGTAGTGGGGCTCAAGTCAGTATTTGCAATGTAATTACATACACGCTATATCGCCCCCCTTGACAGTGAAACGCCACGCGTGAGGTTTAGATTATTTCCCTGTCTCAATCAAAATGGAACTGTATGAAATAAAACGGCACATTTGTCTTGAAGTAAATAAAAAGGGATCACTGTGAACGTGACGTATGATACATTGAAGATCCAATGGGGATACTGAATGGCGGTTCCGATTGATCTCAATCAGTAATGCATGACGCAGACCCAACGTTTCGTTGCTCTGATTGGCTGTAGGTCTATTCAAATTGCATTCGGAGGCATTTTGATCTGACCGCGGCCGCGCTGATATTATAACGCCAGAGAATTTCCACACCTTTAGTGTATAAAACTCGCCCACTACTTACACTATTCCTTGCACCCCTCTTCTAGCATAAGCCCGAA